AATGCAAACTGATAAAACTCCTGGTCATAGTACACCAGATTAAACTGTGGATAAAAAAATAAAAGTGTGCATAATTGTGGCAATACCAGAAAATGATGGAATAGAAGATAAAGTATTGGAGATCATAAATATCAAAATCTGATAATCGAAACCGAAAGATTATTGCAAAACACAGCTATGTAATCCAGTAGTTATCAGCACATGGAGTGTCATACCAAAACATCTTGGATCGCACTTAGAAAAAATCTGCACATTGACAAAATTTCCATCTGTCAATTACAAAAGGCCACACTGCTTGGATCAGCATATATGCTACAATGATACATTATAACATACAATGTCCTTGGAAAGAAGTCAATATGTATGAAGGCCAATACCAACTAAAAAATTGGTAGCTGTGGTTTCAAATTGTTGTCTATGTAATAATAATAACAGCCAGAGCCCTTGACCCTAAAATGAAAATGAGTTAAGAAATTTCTGAATTTTCATCCAGGTTAACCTCATCTTCCAGCAATAGAAGGAAGAAGAGAATTAACACTTCCTCAACTTTCACCACCACCTGCTATAGAAAATACTATATTCTCATTAAATGGATCGCTTTGGTAAGCAGAACAATGTCTTCATTACAATATCAACAAGATTACATATCATCAGTCCTTGGGTGTGTCTGGCTTTAAATATTTCTCTGATTTTAAAAAACTTGTCTCTCCCCACCCCATATCCCCATAATTTTAATCAGCCAGAATGAAGAGACTAAACAACCTGGCATTTCCAAGAGACAGTCATGAATTGAAAGAATTCTAAAATCCCAGGAATTTATAACATTGTTCACTCTAATTTCTCCTTTCCCAAGTAAGAATGACAGGGAGAAAGGGTTATTGTATTAAAGACACAGCCTGGATTCACACACTGCATTAAGTCACAATGTGTTGTTTGGGTTGGGCCTGATATCAGTGAACCCATTTCACTGTAGTTGAAAAAATACTTATGGATTAGTGCAATGTGTGATCTCATCCTTTGTGGTTTATTCATCTAACAGTCACTAACAAAATCATGTCTCAGTATGCATGCTATGTATGTGAATGAAGCATGCAATATAATGCATAAATAAAGCAAAGTCAGATTTCCTGGATTTTTGTTTTGTTTCAAAGTATCATATTTAAAATTTTCCATTAATACATCTTTTTTGCCAAGTAAATGTGTTTTTGTTCTTCTTGGAACAAGACACCATACATGGACATTCTTATCAAGCAAGACAAAAGCCAACTGGCAGATGGAAGCTCACAAGTACAGGAAATAGAATTCCCAAAGGACTTAGCATTAGTCTTTTCAGTTAAGTCCCACCAAAAATAAGAATGACCTTGGCTCTTCCAACATTGAGAACTCTACATAATACTCATTAATCGACTTGATTTCCTGTTACTAATTTCCTTACACATGCTAAACCAAACATTCACTCAAGAAAGCCAAGACAAACAAGCATGCACTGGCTCTCTTAATGAATAAATAAAACATCAGGTTATTGACATTTAAACATTATATTTTACTTTATTTTTAAAAAAACGTATCTACCTCATTTACAGAATAAATGCATAAAAATAGAAATCATTGATGGAAGCAGGTTAGGAAAAAATTTAAATAAGCAGGTATTTAATTAGGCTCAGATGGCAACTGGCATATTCTCAATTATTTCACAACCTAGAAAAAATATATTTTATTTTTAAGCACGAAAATTGTATGTGTTTCTACAGCTACTTATTTAAATTGTCTATTTGCATTTCACTGAGAGAAGGAGAGAGGAATATATGTGTAGATATGTGTTTATGAAACAGTTGAAAATAAAGAAGATGGTTAATAGAAAGTAAACACCCTTAGCCTACTGTAGTTGGCTTGGAGAAAAAAATTGAGTATCTGAATTTAAATTAAAGGCCATCTGATGCCTTTGATGCTGGTGCAATTTCCATCATTGCCACTGAAAGCAGCACAGACTCATGGCATAATATCGTCATAGATCCTCATTTGATTTATATATATTCTACTTTACATCTCAAATAAAAGTGGCAAAACACATAGAACCTTTTGTCCATTTTCTGGGTGTGATGTGCAGGTTGATGCAATGCACATGATATTCTAACCAATATTTGAAGGAAAGCAGGGATTTCTGAAAAAATATATACCAAAATACTAATAAAGAATCTGTTCTTTTTATAGAATTTTCCTGTGTTTGTGAGCTACATGGAAGTAATAATCACCTTACTTGTTTTGATTATTTAGAATATATACAAAAACCTATAAGAACAACACCTTCTTTTGATCCTCCCTCTTTCCCATTCAACATTGTGCTTTAATTAGGACAAATAATCCAAGTCTAATTCTACTTCTCTTTGTTCATAACATCCTTCAATGTTTACTATTGGCACTGCTTCCAGAAGTTTGATGCTACTGAAGTAAAATCAAATAAATATGTAGCTCGTAGAAATATGTGTTCATTTTATACTTCTGTGGCATTATAGATCATATCTGGCAGAAAATTGAGGCAAAAGTTAAAATGCATGTTTAGAGAACAAGAACAGTTTTCTTATGCAGGTATATACTGGGAGGTGGATAAGAAAACTGTAAGAAAATAATCTACAAAACTCAATTTCTCTAAAATAAAGATTTGCAACAGGCAGGCTGACAACTAGACACATTGGAAAAAAAAGAAAGTGCGGTGCGGGGAATCATCCAGAATTGAATATCTTCATACAAAAGATCATTCTCTGACTAAAGCTGCAATTTTAAAGTATCTTTAGCTAAGTGCTGTCTGGTAACAGTATCTTTATTTATTTATAGACCTTTCCCTCTTAAACAATATTTCCTCAATCCACTTCAATAGTGTGACTAGCTTTAAAAATACTAAAGTTAACCTATCCAGATAACAAATGACAAAAATGACTTATATATCTGTTTAAAAGTTCAAACTTCCAGAAGAACAGCAAACAAAACAGACTGCCAACAAAATAGGAGATAAGACTAGAATATCCTGAAATTTTCTAATGTTCATCTGCATCTTTCAACTGATTCCCCATTAAAACCAATCTATTAATCTAATACATATGGGAATTGTTTGCCATTCTTGCATTGTGTTTTACAATGTCTTACCAAAAAACTTTAAATGTTTATCACTATCATAGGGAAGACAAAAAATTGTATGCTTAACCAACCCACTGAAGTTAAAGAACTGAAAGAACTTTAAAAATCTTTAGATTAGAAAATCTAATAAGAACTAATAAATCATAAGCATACAAACTTGCTGTTCAAAGTATGTAGTAGAAGCAATTCCATTCTACATGTCATATATCACTGATTCCATTAGTTATCTGTTAGATCAGGGGCGGGTTTCAAAACCCCTTGCTACTGGTTCGCTCATGCGCACATGCAATGCTTCTGTGCATATGCAGAAGCATCCGGGCAGGTGGGCAGAGCCTGCTGCCACCGTCGCTACCAGTTCGCCCGATCTGGGGCGAACCGGTAGCAACTCACCGCTGTGTTAGATAGTAAGTTTACTGTAACAAGATTGCAATTGAAACACTAGTATAATCAACTTCAACTATTTTCCACAATTATACACTATCTAAACATAATTTCCTACAAAGTATCACAGATTTTTTTAATAAAAACTTATCAAGTTGAATCAACAGCAAGCTACTATTTTAAATATAAATCTTCAAACAAAGATGTAGTCTTATTGAGATAGAATTTATAAATAGAAACACAAATCATTAAAATAGCAACATATTCATATGTTCACTTTAAGCACATGATGGTATTTATATATTGTTATTTAAGCCTGCATTGCTTGAAACAAAAAAAAAATGCAAATATTTTATTTTGAACCACACATACAGACTCACACATACTGTATAAATAGGAATATTTCTGTCAGGTCAAGATCATTTAAGGCAATCTTGAAACTCCTAATATGTAGGCAGGAAGGGAGGAAACCTAAGGGTTCATTATAGAAGGAATCTCTTGAAGCATACTTTTTGCACTTCACAATTAAAGAGCAATCTGGAAGGCCAAGTATAGTGTTTAAACTTAACCAAGTTGATGAATAAAATAGAAAATATCCATGATTACCAACCTATATCTTTGTCATTATAGTACTATATTTTCATTTACAGTGGAAACAAACACTTGATAAATATGCTATATGCAAAATGCAAATTTTTTATATGAGCCCATTACCTGTTACTTTTAACTAGAGTATAACAGAAAGTACATTTTCCTAAAATAAATTGAATTGGAATGCTTTGGGAGCAAATAAGTCTTTAAAATAGCTATTTCTTTTTTGGCAGCAGGGAAAACACCAATAGATTTCAGAAACTATAGAAAACTAAACAAAAACAAGCAAAATCTTGGGAAAATGTAGGGAGAAGGACTTTTCTAATCCATTGAGGTAGAATTCCAAACTTTCATATTTCTGTCAGATGGTAGGAAAAAATATGAAACCAACTTGAGGGCTGAGTTTAGCAGAAACATGTTTTGCTATAGCAGCCTATTATTCTGTGTTTTCAACTCTACAAATATTAATTCAAATATTATTAGTAAAGTATCAAATTGTTCCCACTTAGAGGCATATACATCTAGGAAATACTTATATGGTTGGGCTTTGCTTTATTAAAACTAAATAGTATTAGAAATTGTATAATAATTACAATGTTGGTCCAAATAGAAGGTCAGATCTTTTATCTATAATTGCTGACAACTCTTCATTTGTGTTGGATTGCCACCTTCTAATTCAGAAGCTAATTTGATTTTTGAAATGTTGCATATGGTTGATATAGTTAAAGACATTTTGCCTCTCATCTCTTCTTGAATGAGAAGCAAAATGTCTTGAAAGAAAAACAAAGTCCAGTTGCTTCTTTAAAAAAGCACTGTTGCGACAACCATGACCTGGATGACTGAGAATCTGAAGAGCTCCAATGAGTGGGAAAATGAAAGTAGAATAAAACGTTTACCTGCTTGGTTAGTGGTCACAGTGACAGACACAGCTTGGTCTTGGCTTGGATTTTGCTTGGATACTCCATTCACTGCCCAGATTTCAAAAGTGTAGTTAGTATGTGCCAAAAGATCTGTAATGGAAACCCTCGTGGACTTCAAACCATTCTGCTGAGGACTGAAGTGAACACCACTCCCACAGGACCGGCAGCGGTTCAGATCACTAGCTCCACATCTCTTACACACCACATTGTAAGAGACATCTTCACGGCCACCTTTGTTCTGGGGGGAACTCCATTCCAAATTCACTGATGTCTCATTGACATTGGAGATCAAGTTCTCAGGAGCAGATGGGGGACCTGCAAAAGAAAAGCATCCTTTTTTAAATTAGCTAAATAATTTTTTTAAAAAAATAGGAAGCCTCTTTAGAGAAATATCTACACAGGATTATGTAATTTCATTGGACTCAAGAGCTACAGTTGGGACTTTGAACATTGTGCCATGTGCTAATTTCCACAAAGAGGTACACTCAGGATAAATACTATATTTAATTTCAGTTCATTTAAATATTTGTAAATTGTTACGCGAACTGTTTCTATGTTTTCCTAATTCTGCTTTCTCTCATATTAAAAATTACAGTTGAGGGGCTTTCAAAAAACCCAGCAGAATATGTACAGCCTGGAAGCCTCATGATATACTTCTCTGACCTGCACTAAAGTTTCTTAATATGATTTGATTTCTTATTTGTACCCTATGACTATCATTAAGTGTTGTACCTTATGATTCTTGACGAATGTATCGTCTTTTATGTACACTGAGAGCATATGCACCAAGATAAATTCCTTGTGTGTCCAATCACACTCGGCAATAAAGAATTCTCTTCTCTTCTCTTCTCTTCTCTTCTCTTCTCTTCTCTTCTCTTCTATTCTATTCTATTCTATTCTATTGCTTCATACACAATGCATTGCAAAAAGTAATTCTAGCATTTTGCTTCCTTATGTTTCAGTCAGAAGCTATCTTCAAATAAAAACTGCTCTTGTACAGCTACATCCATAGTTCCAAACTGTTGCAATATTTTCAGGATCAGACTCAATAAGATTAGCAAGAGTTAAAGATTTAACTATATATTCTTTTATTTACATTAGGCATTCTATATTCACTGAATATTCACAGATAGAAGCGAGGGAAAGGGTGTAGGTAGCTCCTTATATATACAATGGGTGGAGCTATATGTGGGAGTGGTGAATTATGAATACATTAAGAAGTGAAGAATAAGTTAACCCCTGATACCCTGTCTGTACACTATTTACACATTAGAGAATAAGGCATTTACATCTGACAAATCCCCCTCTAAATGCCGATTCGTTATACAACACCAGTTACACTCAGATTCAGGACAATACAAAACATACAACTTAGAGGTTAAATATTTATGCTGCTTAGAAGGTAAAGGCTTTGTCAATATATCAGCTAATTGTTCTGAAGTGTCGCAATGCACTGCTTTAATAAATCCATCCTGAGATAATTGTCTCACATGTTTAAATTTTATATCTATATGTCTGGACCTTTGTCCAATGGCATCAGATCTAGATATTTCAATGGCCGCTTTATTGTCTTCATGCATAACAAAGGGCAGAGCAGGTTTTTTCCAGACATCTGAAATTAAATCATTAAACCATACAAGGTTATTTGCGGCTTTGGATAAACAAACATATTCCGCTTCTGTCGTTGAAGTAGCCACTAGTTCTTGTTTACCAGTGTACCAGTAAACTGGACAGTCATTTAAGAGAAATACATAACCAGATGTACTTTTTCTGCATGAGGTGTCTCCAGCCCAATCTGCATCTGCATAACACGTAAGCTTTGGTTCTTTAATATCATTAGGCTCTAACATTAAACAAAAGTCTAGTGTACTTTTTAGATATCTTAAAATTCTTTTAACAGCTTCCCAGTGATACATTGTTGGTTTGCTGACATGCCTAGATAATAAATTGAGTGGTAAAGCGATATCTGGTCTAGTCCAATTAGATATGTAAAGGAGTGAACCTATGATTGATCTATAGAATGTATTGTCCTTGAACTCGGGAGAAGATTCATCAGAATTTCTTAGAAAGTCAGTTTGCATAGGTGTATCACAAGGTTTGGCATTGTTTAAGTTGCATTTATTTAAAAGTTCTATGATCTTATCTCTCTGGGTAAGTTTGAATCCCCTTTTTGTCTTATTAATTTGGACACCAAGGTATTTGTTTACCTTGCCTAAAGATTTCAATGAGAAATGTCATTTAGTTTAGTTACAAAAGTTTCTCTTCTTTCTTTATGTTTTCCTATGTATAAAATGTCATCCACATAAATCAATACAAATTCAATGTAATCATCACCCCTCTTGACAAAGAAACAATTATCAGCAGTGGTAGCGTTGAAGTCCATGGTCTTAAGTACTTTTACTAAACAATCATACCACCGTTTACCAGATTGTTTTAGCCCGTATAAACTCTTGTTTAACAACCAAGTCTCATTTTTGTTTGTGTATGGACTATGAGGTGCTCTCACGTATATTTCTTTATCTAATTTTGCGTGTAGGTACGCAGTCTGTATGTCATATTGGAATACATCTAGATTGAGTGCTGAAGCTACCACTAGAGCTGTTTTGACACTCTCTGTTCTTACAGTGGGGGAATACGTGTCAGTATAGTCCTCTGGATATTTCTGTGCATAACCCTGTGCAACCAATTGGCTTTGTATAGAGTATTTCCTTCCTCTAAATTCTTAATTTTATATATCCATCTGGTACCAATAATTGTCTTATCTTTAGGTGCAGATGCAGGTGTAAATACATTTAGTCCTTGTAAACTTTCCATCTCTTTCTTCATTGCTAATTCCCATTTTTCTTTTTCTTCGTGAGGAAGTTTTAACACTTCCTCGTATGTATTGGGTGTTGTTGGTTCACCATTCATGTGCATTACATAATCCTTGTATTTATTTGGCATTTGATTTCTGGTGTTTCTAATGATTTTCTCGGGTTTACTATCGTTATCATGCAAATATCTTGCTTCCTTTTTTGTTAGTGTATCTGTCTTTATTTTGAGTTGGCTATTTGTCCAAGTTTTGGTTTTGTTTTTATATTTGTTGATATTTTGTTTTTCTATAGTCCCTTTCTCATGAGATTTTGTGTCTTCATGTTTATTTGGGAATATCTCATTAAGATGTAATTTAGACCAGTTAGCTTGTTCATGGAACACAGCTGTTCTGGAGACTATAAATTTGTTGTTACTATCAATGAATCTGTATCCTTTTGTGCCAGTCTCATATCCCATAAATCTGAGTCTCCTGGACACATTTTCTCCCTTTCTTCTTAATTGTTTAGGTATGTGTACGTCTGCTGTGACTCCAAATATATGCATGTGTGCTAATTTTGGTTTTCTATCATACATCACTTCATATGGTGTCTTATTTATAATGCTGGACCATGTTCTATTTTGTGTGTAATTTGAATAATGTAAGGCTTCTGACCAGAATTGTTTGCTTAAGCCAGCATCTTCCAATGTGCATCTAATCATGGTTTGTAATGTGGAATTTTTTTCTCTCTGCAATCCCGTTTTGGAACGGAGAAAATGGACTAGATGTGTAATGTAACATTCCTTTGTCTTTTAACCATTGTGAGAATTCTTTAGACATGAATTCGCATCCTCTGTCTGTCATAATTTGTTTTATTTTGATGTTGTGTTGTGTTTCTATGCGTTTGTAAAATTCTTTAAATTTTTGAAATGTTTCATCTTTGTGTTTTAATGTGTAAACAAATCCATAACGGCTATAATCGTCCACTATTGTCAGGAAGTAACGTTTCCTATAAGTGATTGATGGAGTTAATGGACAACTAAGTCCATGTGTACTAAATCAAAAATTTTGTTAGTTGATCTGGTAGATTTTCTTGGCCTGGGACTAGTTTTTAGTTTTGTAGATTTACATACTGAGCATTCCAGATAATTTTCACAATTCTTTATTTTAACACCTTCTGCGTGTTCAGTCATTTTTTGCACCACAGGAAAACTGGCATGTCCTAACTTCCTATGCAACATGTGAGCACACTCATCATGAATTGGTTTACCTATCTTTGGCTTCTTATCGTTGTGTGCATCTGTGTGATCATGAGATATTTTACATTCATCATTGTCACTGTTGCTAACATTCTCATCATCTATTTCAATACAGTCTTCCATATTTGAATCAATGTTATGTAACCATTTTTCTTTTGTTATTAGGTAAGGTAGTCCTCCTTTAGTCACCACAGTGCCTACATTTATTTTATTCTTTTCCAAAGTTGCCTTTCCTTTTGAAAAGACAATGTTAATGTCAGAATCTCTGCTTAGTTTTATGGCACTTAATATGTTATGAGGTATTTCAGGTATTAGTAATACCCCCTCTATTTTTCCTAAACCAGGCAAGGTTACATTTCCTCTACCTAATACTTGAACCTTTTCTTGGTTAGCTACCTTAATTACAAATTTATCTTCTGCAAATGAAGACAATATACTTTTGTTATTAGTGGTGTGATTAGTTGCTCCAGAATCAATAAGCCAATTATTGTTCTCACTTTGTTGTGTGTTAGTGTTGTCTTGTTTATTTAATCCATTCAGTGAACCAGACTTTCTATCCTTTGAATTGTCTCTGCCCCCTCTATTCTCTCTGTGATTTGGTGGGCTCCTATATCTATGCCTTTCTATGGAAGGCTGTCTATAATCGTATTTGTTTCTGTATTCTGATCTATATCTTTCTTTTAAGAATTTTGGGCAATCTCTTCTATTGTGTTCCCTGGATCCACAATTATGACATTTAAATGTTCCACTATATTTTTCTTGGAAAGCTACTTTCCTATATGGTTTATGTTCTGTGTGATTGTTAGAACGATTTCTTCTAGAATTATCTTCTGTTATCAATTTGTTAGATAGGCTTTCTATGGATAAATACCCTAGATTGATTGTGTCTAAATGTGACATAAAATTGTCCCATGATGGGTCAAGTGAGTTGATAATGACACTTTTCATTGTTTGGTCTGAAATCACCTCCCCCTCAAATGCAGTTCAGCTCTTATTTTGTTCAAAGATATTAAATGTTCACTTATGGAAACCCCTGGTTTTATCCTAGATGAAAAGAAGTCTTTAGATATCCTTGTGGTGGTGGCTACACTGTCACTGTGAAACAAATTAAACATGCATTGAATAATTTCTGAAACAGTCAAATTTGGCTTAATGCTGTGATACATTGCAGGAGACACACTAGATATTATTAAGAAAAAAGCTCTATGGTGTAAACAATCTATTTTTAGTGTCCAAGGTCTTTTTGGGGGACTAGTGATAAAAAA